TTATTTAGAGGTCGGAAGTTAGTTATCATAGTAAATTTTTGTGTTATTTACGTTTTTTACAATTTCTTATGTTTTTCGCGTTTGGTTTGTTACACAAGATCCTGTGATTTTATTGGATCCGAATAGGGTCGGAAGTGATCTTCAGCCCGGGATTTTCTTGACATAAGGGTACCCACTGCAGCTTAACTGCAGCTACGTAAAAATTTATACGTATGCATGCGATGAATTAGCGCATCGCAGGGTGCGGTATATACTAGAGTTGCTGGTGAAACTGGTGAAACTTGGTAAAACTTGGTGAAACTGGTGACTATCTAAAATCTGATTGGCTATTAAATGCAATAGCCAATCAGATTTTAGATAGTCACTATACATTTATTCTAAAAAATAATTCCCGCACCCGGGTGACCCGGGTTGGGATTTTCGTGACGGGTCGAAACATAATTTGCATCGCAAAATTTGTCCTTTTATTTCACATAACGAGGTTCCAAATCGATAATTTAAAGTCTGGGTGACGCCAAAAACCCAATTTACTCAAACCAATGAACTCCGCCTCTTCAACATTTATAATTCCTAAGCGACAAATACTTACCAAAGACGATTTAGACAAATTTCAAGAATCGCAGGCATATGAAGAATATTTTTCTTTCATTGTGCGATTAAATGATTCAGTCAAGGGATTAAAACTGACAACTGAATGTATTGTTTCCTCGGTAACTTTTGTTCGCGAATTGTTTTTTTCATAACGCGATTATACCGTAATATGACCTTTTAAACGTTGGTTTTTGTGAAATAGGCTTTAGTCAATATACTGGAAATCTTGGATACTGTAAATACTTACTGTAAAGAAATTCCCCCAGTAAATAATGAAAAGAGTCGCTTTGGAAACCCTGCATTTAGAGATTTCTATGATCGAGTTACAAGCGTAAATATTATATCATTATCAACATTTACACAACGTTTAATTTAACATGTGTCACATGTAGACTGCCTTTGAACTTCATGAAAATCTATCACTTCCTCCAGCCGCAATACCAGAAATATCAAAGTATTTTACGGAATCCTGGGGAAATAAAACAAGAATAGATTATGGTACTGGCCATGAGGCCAATTTCATGGCATGGTTGTGAGTAATGTCGACAATATAAAGTTTTATCGTAACAAACTATTAAGTCATTGCTAATTATTATTTTAATTTTTTTAGACTTTGCCTTGAAAAATTAGGATTGATATGTCCTGACGACTATACTGCTGTTGTACTCAGAGTTTTTCAAAAGCGAGTCATTTAGCATAGTTTAAGATATCTCTCCTTTGTCGGTGATTTAATTATTAAATTAATCTCTGCATTAATTCAATAGATATATTGATGTAATGCGGAATCTTCAATTTAATTACTGGCTTGAACCAGCTGGATCACATGGTGTATGGGGTTTAGACGATTATCATTTCCTACCTTTCTTATTTGGTTCCTCTCAGTTAGTTGGTAAGATGGTATTCCAACCACATCTTTATAATTATTTGATCTAATACATATACCTTTTTAGGTCACAAATATATTCGCCCAAAGTCGATTCATGATAAAGACATCGTAGATGAATTTTCAAAGGAATATATGTATTTAGCCTGTATAAAATTTATTAATTCTGTGCGTTAAGTCTATTTTCTTTTAAAAATTATTTTAGCAATGCTTTGTCATTAATATATATATATATTTTTTTTGTTTCACTTATTTAGGTTAAAACCGCATCTTTACGTTGGAATTCGCCAATGTTGGATGATATCTCTGGCAAGCATTAATAATTTGTTATTTATCAAATTAGTTTTTACTAATTTTACTGATTATTGGTCACTATTATTGTTTCCATTATAGGCGTCCGTGAATGGAAAAAAGTTAATGAGGGGATGCTTAAAATGTACAAAGGCGAAGTACTTGCAAAATTACCGATCATGCAACACTTCATGTTTGGATCTCTGATAAGTTTTGAAGGTAGTACACCATCATTACTTGAGGGAAATGGCGATGGTAATGAAGATGAACATGGTCATGTACACGTTCATGCTTTTGGTCAAGAATTCCCAGATTGTTGTGGTATCAAAATTCCCAGCGCTGTGGGAGCAAGACAAATGAGTATCAGGGAAGGAACTATAAAAAGATTACCATTTGATTGACATAGTTGTATGTTTTTTAATAATCATAATTTATTAAAATTAAAGCTTCTAATTTGGTGTCAATATAAGACTGTCTTAATATATTATGATAGTGATTATTGTATAATTTATTGTTTGACTTACAACGAGCTTATGTGTTTTGTAAATGATAGGATTCTGTTTACAAAAGAAATTTTCTAAAATGATTTAAACAAAATTTAACAATGCTTCGGAAGAATGAGATTAATTTTAATTCAAGACCCTACTTATTATTCATCAGTTAAATAATAATAATGATATAAGAATAATAATAACTAATAAAGTAAATTTTTTGTATGTACAAAAATTGATAAAGTATAATAGAGTAAAAAAAATGTCTCTTCATGGATAAAATTGTCTCATAAGACCAACGATTTTATTCAGTTGGACCGATTGGTGTATATCCAACACGTCTTCGATAAAGATACAAGTGGTGCCAGATATAACCACCCAATGTGCATAGAATTATAGATGCCACTAATCCTAAAACAACGAAAAAGAACAGACGTCCAATATGCGGAAAAGTACGTTCTGGCTTCAATACTTTATCAACTTCGTATACCGCACCACCATTCCAAGCTACACCTTTGCCAAGTATCCTAGCACTATCCTCAAAGAAACCACCCTTAACTTCTATTTTGTAACCACCAAATATGATATCTTTCCTTACAACTAGTTTCGCGTCATCAGATAACATAGTATTAAGTTCTTTACCTTCCCTTAGATTGCCAACATTGTGCGGTATAACATGTAATCTGATTAAGCGGGAGACTCTATCTGGATCATTCATTAATTTCGTAATATTAATTTTTCTAAACGCATCATTAGTGGGTGAAAAAATAGTGAATGGTTCTACTGGATCACTAAGAATTTCTGATAGATTTGAAATCTTGAAAACTTCCAACATGCTAGTAGCACCAATCCCGTTGAGAATTTTACCCACTGTGATGTGTAATGTTGGTGGCAATTGTACAGCGTCGACTACATGCATGACACCCGTTGAAGTAAGAATATCTCTCTGAGTAACTTCTGCAGTACCATTTTCGATCTTAACTTTAATATGATCTTCATTACGCGTAATGTTCAACGGGGAACCATCAATCGCAGTATATTGTGATTCTCCTTGGGGAATATCTTCAGTATACACAGTATCATTCAACATATGAAACATGACAACTTCACGCAAATCATCTTTACCATAAGGGCTCAAAAAGTAGGGAATGAGAAGATCAAGATTGCTAAAAGCGAGATTAGTTGGAGCAAACACCGTGACACCTTTGCTTGATTCAACGGTTGATAACATATCACTTGCATAAATAGCCGAAACAAAGTTACTAAGCTGTCTATTACGCATGGCACTACTTATAATATCAACAGGAGTTTTCAAAGTTTTTGACAACATATAAATTATGGAATTGCCAACCTCCACTGGAAAATAATAATAATAATAATAATAAATAAATAAATAAATAAAAAATTAATATATGTGGAAAGAAACATTTTAATCATATATACATACCTGGATCCCCGATAACATAAACATCATTGAATGCAAGAAGGATATCTCTTTTTTGTTCATTGGCCCATGTTGATTTAACAGAGACACTGATTCTTTGACTCTTGTTCCTCAGTTCTTCAGTTATCAATTCGGTTTTGACAAGCATTTTATCTTTAAAGTCGTGAATTTTATATTTTCCGGGCAGAATATGGTATTTCAAAGTATCGGATCCCAAATTCTCAAAAATACTGCCGTCATAGTAATCATCTTGTGGGGCAAGAATTGTATAAGGAGTCTCTAAATCTTCGATATAATGATGTAAACGATATTTGATAAGTGCAGAAACAAATTTGGTGGCTCTCAACCCACAAAGGTATTTGTGCGCATTGAAAGAAATTGCATTAGGAACCGAGATGTTACTAATTACATGAATGACACCTAAATAATTATATTATTTCAATAAGCAAATTTATCTAAGTTGAATAAATCAACAGAATCGAATAAATAAAATATAATTTACCATTATGCGCTAACAAATCTTTATAGGTGATCAAGCCATTTGCAACATGAATAACATCATTATCATCACGTACAACTTCAAGGGGTTCACCTTGAGGGGTTACCACTGTTATTTAAAAAAAATTTAACATTAAAATAACGCGATCTAAATGTGACAATCCATAATCTCCGTACCATATTATAATCGAACAAACCCTTTGATTTTTCGCGAGTAAAATTTGTCGTATACAAGACCTCCTCATAATGTAAATGATGTTTAATAAGGCGATCCAGATCCCGGTAACCACCACCACAATTACCGGTAAGGAACTCTCTCTCATAATGCTTAAGATTTTTAGTAATTGAATCGTCTGTTGGAGCGAATACAGTAATATGGTTTCCAATTTTGATAATATTATCAAGATCCATAATGCGAAGATAGGAAGTAAAAATCTGCAGTTGGTCAATTGAATCTAACGTCGTTACTATAATAATAATTTAAAGTAAACTCTTGAGTTATTTGAATAAAAATAACTAAATCAGAGGTTGGTAAAATATATCATACATGCATCCATGGGAGTTATCAAAACTCTATTAATGACATGAATAATACCTTAAATCATTAGATAAAAGTAAGTATAAAAGAAAACTAGCTGAGATAACTGAACCACTGGATTAAATACAAAAATGTTTAAATGGAACACTACCATTGTCAGCTTGAAGATCAGTCTGGATAATTTTCCCATTCCCAACATACGTTACTTCCTGTCCCAGCTTTTCGGTAACTTTCTCAACTTTAGATTTCTGACCAACTTTACCATCACCAAGCTTCTCCATTATCTCATAACGTGTTGTTAAGAGTTGACCATTAAAAAACTCTTCACCCTTAATCTCTTCATACAAAATATGGTAGAGCATACGATCTTTGGTAACAAAAGGGTCATCCTCGAAAGCTTCATTTGTAGGGGCAAAAAAGGTACCAGTCTCTAAGTGATTAAGGAGTGGTATAAGCCTAGTACGTTGTAAAGCTTCAAGAAGGCTAGAGAACCGTTCGTCATTTGTTAAAATGTCAACAATAGTCTTCCTGGCTTCAGAAAAGGGATGACTTGCGGGTGAAAGTAGGAGAAGTAGAAGTAATAAAAACAAACGGCCGATTAGTGTCATTTATGTAATTATAACAAGTAAACTTTATGAAGCATTCTATTTTCATTTAAACCATTTATAACGATGATTCATTGCTTCTGCGGCCCAC